CACCAAAATTTCAGGTCAAAAGCGACAGTCTGGAAATATCTAAATGCACAATTTCATGACAGAAGTTTTAACAGTTGCTGAACGGGATCAATTCCGCTTTTCGATTTTGAACGGTCTAAATATTGTGAAAATTGTACATGTATTCCAGTGACTAAAACTAAACTCTTATATCTCAGCAAGAACGCTACGCTCACCAAAATTTCAGGCCCAATAGCGACGATCTGGATCTATCTTGATGCAAAATTTCACGACAGCAGTATTAAAAGTTTCTGAATGGGATCAATTAGGCTTTCCATTTATAAAATGAAAATACCAGTGCCCAGGGACGCCGGAACGATGTTAAGGCAAGGGGGGGCAGATTTCGTGAAAGGCCAGTGTCAATGAATCTTAGTCGTTCATCGACATTTTGGCGTGGTTATGAGGCGTGAAAATGATATGTAAATAATGTAGCAGTTTGGGGATCTATGACGTAACTACAATTATCAAGGGAATATAATTTATAGTTGTCTTTGTCTTGTAAAATTCTAGTGTTGACGATAACGATTCACGTCTTCATTGACGCGCCGTTGCGTTTGCCAAACTCACTACTAATCAACGGGACCTTTTCAGTTCCACTGGATCATTCTCACTCTATCGCGGTTTGACTTTCTTTCAACATAGATCCATTCTCGCCATCATCTGCGGAACGTACCGAGGTGGCAGCAGTCGTAGGATTATACAGCGAAGGAATTGCAACGCTTGCTGGTTCGCAATCATAACCAAGTTTTTTCGTATCTCTTGTGATAACATTCCATGTTACCTTGATACCTCCCTGGGATCGCACTCGTGTTACTATAAAATAATAATTTTGTTACTGTAACATTAAATTTTGATTATTGTTTTGGTAGGTTGAGAAAGTAGGTGGCTGCCCTCAGAGCAGGAATAGTTGTAATAAGTATATATCTAATCGTATATTTTACAACTGTAGCACTGAGTTCAAAATGTAAACACCTTTAAAGTATAGTGTAACTTAGCCTAGCTTGTTCAGCTAGTTGATTAAGAAAAATGTGTACGAAAAAGATGACAATAATTCTAAATACTCTCATACTTTTTTCCCTTATATATTATACTGAATTTTTAACACTTTTCTGGTTCGCTATGCTAATTGTAAATTAATACAGACTAGAGATTCAATTCAAGAAAGTTCGGAAGGTGCGAAATATTAACAACATTCCAATGGTCGGGTCCCAACACCGCGAAAAAACGTCTGCGCATGTGTCAACAAATGTTCCGCAGGTTGTCAAAAACTCAAAATGGAAGCGACTTCGATGTTTTGCCTTTTCGGTGAAAATTCTAGCGGAATAACGAATGAAGCAACCTAAAAACTACAAATAATTATAGTCTATTTGTGCAAGAAGTAGTATTATGCAAGAAAATAAACCAAAGATGACTGTCAATAAATGTATTAGAAAATAGCCTCGTGCAACTCGAGAAATTAAATTCCCCTTATTGAAAAGCGTCGCTGACTAGTAAAAGATTGTACGCGGGCGCAGAACGAGCTTTCATTCAGCAAAATCTAGCGGCAATGTTGTTTTTACTGTTTTGTTTTTGTCAACTTTTCGATTTATTCGAGTGCCATGGACAGCCAAGGATTATTGTGAAGGATCAAATCGATGAAAACAACAAAACCTCGTTAAGGTTGAAGCTAATTGAACCCTGCCGTTTAGTACGTTCACTCAATCTATCAGCTGGAACAGCCTATTATAAACAGGTGGACCATAGGCAGCCCACTAAACGACTGAATTTAAATTAAAACTACAATGAAATTATAAAATTTAACGAAAATAATCACAAATTAGCGAAATATATTGCAAAATGTAGCTTATATTAAATCTCCACTCGATTGACCTATCGGCGAACTGACGTATATTAAGGTATACTTTAATATACGTCAGTTCGCCGATAGGTCAATCGAGTGGAGATTTAATATAAGCTACATTTTGCAATATATTTCGCTAATTTGTGATTATTTTCGTTAAATTTTATAATTTCATTGTAGTTTTAATTTAAATTCAGTCGTTTAGTGGGCTGCCTATGGGTGGACGTGTTTTTTTTTGTTTCATGTTTGGTTTTGTAGTTTTTGCTAAAAATAAACAATTAGGCTATGAAACTGAAATATTTTTCTGTTTACATATAATCACTTTAAATTAATCTTGCAGAAACAAGACTAAAAACGTCGTTTTCTTGAGAAGTAAACAACTTTTTAAACGTTTGTATGCAATTTTGCAAATGTTTTACAGTTGACAGTGTATATTTAAAAAAAATTTAAAAACATTGTTTCGTAGCTATTTTTTGGTCTAGTGATATTCGTATCATATGTATAGAATTGCTGTATAGACTCGCAAGTGATTTGGCACTCAAAACGAAGTATTATTCAACGCTTTTTTCCATTAGAAACCTTTCAAAAATGGCTCTTTTTTAAAAAAAAGTCCGGTCAATTTTTGTTTTGTTTTGATCATGCGGTTGCGTGGGATAGTTCACGTAAGTCAGTACTTGCACCTGATCTTCACCAGTGTGTAACAAGACCTCCGCAAAGACATTAGACGTAACGTACCTTCGCGTCCTTCACTCTGGGCAATAACTTTGGGATCAACAAATTCAGGTCTTCTTCCTAAAAACCAACTAACGAAACAAATAAGAAAACATTATAAACAAAGAAAATACCAGAATCACCAACAACAACAACACCACCAACACCAGCAGTTGCAGCAAAACAACAACAGAAACACCAGCAGCAACAACACCAGCAACAACAGCAACAACAACAACAACAACAACAGCAACAGCAACAACAACAACAGCAACAACAATAGCAACAACAACAACAACAACAACAACAACCCTACAACAACAGCAGATGCAACAGCAGCAACAACAATAGCAGCAACAACAACAGCAACAACAACAGCAGCAACAACAACAGCAGCATCAACACAAATAGCGGTAGCAACAACAGCAGGAGCAACAACAACAACAACAACAACAGCAGGAGCAACAGGAACATTAGCACCAGGAACAACAACAACAACAGCAGCAGATGCAACAACAACAACAGGAGCAACAACAGCAACAGCAACAACACATACCTAGTGAACTTTTGAAGTCTTGATGATGATTCTGGCACAAACATTGGAATTTCTCGTGAGTGACTGAAACAAATAATTGGGAAAGTTGACAGGGTGGGTTATAGCTAAAAGGTCCCGCAGTAATTGGCATATGCTGTTGTGGTGACCCTGCCCTAGTTGGCAAAGCTAAATAAATAATACTCTGAGTGTATAAATAATACTCTGAGTGTATATCCACACCGGGAAAGCTTGAAAAATATGCCTGGCCACGGTGGGAATCGAACCAACGACTTTTGGAATACTAGCCCAACAAAGAAAACATCACAAATAAATCTAAAACAAAGTCATAATGAACGTGTTTCCGTTGTCAGAAGAGTTAAGAGGACGACCTTTGCTTGAAACATTAAGAAGTACATGTATCTTTTTTGTTATCGATGGCTGTTGAGAAATTTTTCACAAGGTTTTATACTGAATTAAGGTGGCTCCCTACAGTTGTAAAGAAACAGCAGCGGAAAAATAAGGTCTTCACAATGACGCAAAATATGTAGTGGAAGATTCCATCAAAAAGTTAGGGGGGTTATAAATTCAATTTTTGAGATATTGCGCAAAATTTGTTCCACAAAAACTGTTTTATAGAATTTTTAAAAAATTGAGTATATTGCAATAAATGACCAGTACTTCTAAAATACAAAATTTCAGAAAAATTGACCGAAGGAAAAACAAGTTATTGCATTACAAACCTTGCGCGGTGAAATTCAAATTTTCTTGACAAAATCACGTCATTTCGTTACCAGTCGCATGTTTACACAACTGTAGGGAGCCACCTTAAATGAGGTAGATCGCTCATTAAATTAGACATCTACCTTCCTGGAGAAATTGGTACGTGGACCGCTCCGTAGCCTCTGACAACATCATGACCAAACGCATCTGGTCCATAACAGCTGACTACCAATTGTGGCCCTAGAATGTATAACCATATACTTGAAATTGTATTATTACATGGCAAGCATCACTTCCGGTGAAATGGCGGACTGTGATTGGCTGAGACGCACTTTCAGCGGTCCATTATTTTCCCGTAATAGACCGGCGGTCCAGTACGTAAAAACAAGCGCATGCATTTTAAAACAAAGCAGCAAAATTAATTGAAAATTATAATTTAATTTGTTATTAATAAGATATCTGCGAATGGTTTTTAGTGGAAAAGAAGGAATACATTGGTATTTTTTGTTTTCTTCGACCAAATCGAAGTTTCAAGTATAAATGCCATATAATAAACCTTTTATTAACCTCGCTTGCTCGGTGTGTACAGAGAAATATCGAAACTCGGTCTTTTGTACAAACCTCACCCTACGGACTCAGTCTGTACAAAAAAGACCTTGGTCCGATATTTCTCTGTACAAACCTCGCGTTCGGTTAATAAGTTACTAACATAGGCGTACCGGGCGGGGGGGCGGGGGGGGCGGCAGCCCCCCCCAGTTTTCTGGGCAGTCGGGCAATATTCGATCAACAGTCGGGCAATTTTGGCTTGCAATAACAAAAATGGGACAAATTCTGTCAATTGTGTCTAAAACTAAGTCAATTTTGTGTAAAATTAAGTCAATTTTTTGAGTTTTTTTCGAAAATTTTTATGTTCCGAAAAAAATAGGTTGGGGGGGTGGGGGTGGGGGGGAGGTCGCCAAAATAATTTTTCCGGAAAAATTTTTTTGATACTAGTCGGGCAGAATTCGAAAAGTCGGGCAATTTTCTTTCCGCCCCCCTAATTTTTTCCTTCCGGTACGCCCATGGTTACTAATGATTACAATGTCGTATTTAGGCCATTGCGGCCAAATGCGGAATTACAAAGCATCATGGTAGATTTCATGGTGGCAATTGCTAGATAGTATACTTCAAAATAAGGTTTCCGTTTTTATATCAATTTTTAAAATAATTAAAATAAGTTAGGGTTAGGTTAGGGTTTAGGTTAAAGGTTAGGTTGGGGTTAGTATTAGGGTTAGGGTTTAGTTTTGCGTTAGGATATTTTTTTCTACGTTATAAAAACGGAAACCTTATTTTGAAGTATACTATCTAGCGATCACCGTTTCATGGTAGTCTAGTCGCACATCAGAATTTTTCAATATGGCGCTTATATTTTTCGAACGAGGGAAAGTGCTAAACACATGATGATTGCAAGAAACGTTTATCATTTTCGCTTTGATTAAAGTTTTTACTAAATCTGTACGGCTTATTTCAATATTTGTACTACGTCTTAGGCTTCTAGAATCGGGTAATCAACATGGCGTACAGAGTCACTGAACTGACGAAGGAGTTCGATTCGTAGTATAAGTCAGGAACATTTTAAAAATATTTTGAGCATCAAATTATTTTCGAGGTAAGGAACACGTTGTGATTTATTGTTTGCCTAAACATTTCAACGACTAATACTAACAAACTCACATCCAAAAGGGTTTGTGCTCTTAAATGTGATATCCAGTGGAAAATTGAAAACAAACACTTGTCTGCTGTCATGACTTTTTTGAGTGATTTGAGATATTCCTTCCTCTATACCCTGGAAAACAAACCATATTTAGGAGTCGTAAGGGTAGCAATATTTTATTTCAGGTAAACATATTAACCATTTAGAAGTGATATTTTCTTGACAAATTTAAAGCTTTATCATCTGTTGTTCTTTAACAGGTAAACAAGGTTTCGTTCCATTACGATGTCCAAAATATGTTGTTGCAGTTCTCGAAAAAAGTCAAAATTGAAGTCGGCAAAAATCTGAACAAGATCGGTGTAATATCTTAAGGTTCATATTTTTATAATTTATGCATATACCCATAATGCTGTGCGACAATAAAAGAATTGTGTTTTGACTCGACCACGTTGTATTATTTATTGTATTATATTGAAGTACTAGATAAAACATGAGCAGCCGATCTGAATCTGATATACAAACTCGAGCCGAAGGCGAGAGTTTGTATATCAGATAAAGATCGGATGAGAATCAAAGCTGAAGTTTATGTAAATCAGGACAAATCTTTATCCGATTTACAAACATTGATTAAACATTCATTTCTTTTGTATTTTCTTCATGAATTGTTAATGAGTTTTTGAACTTTATTTAAACACGGTAGACTCATCATGATTTACAAAAGACATTACATACATCTATACATATTTACAGAAATAACATGAAATAATTACATGTAAAATTACAAAATCTAAAAACGAAACAACCTGCTTTCCACGAGTGCCGTGCATATGACTATATACAGAATAATATAAACATCTTTAAATTTAGATAAAAAAGGTTAAGTTAAGAAACTGATGCAGCCAGAGCGAAACTCACTTAGAGTTTTAACCTGTCGCAACCCAATTGGAAGGATATTCCAAAGAACGGCACCTCTATAGCTAAAGCTATTTTTCAGAAAATTGGTGAGTGGCAATGGAATAGCAAGGCCGGCCTCAGAATTTCTGAGTTGATAATTGGTGACGCTGCTGCGATCAACAAGTCTCGAACTTAGATAATCTGGAGCAAGTCCATTTAGAGACTTATAAACCATGACAGCTTCACCAATTTGACGTTGTAATTCAAGATTTTTCCAGCCAAGGTCTTTGAATAAATTGTGTGTCATAGCCAGAAAAAGTCAAAACCCGGGCGGCGCGGTTCTGCAATTTTTGAAGCTTAGTAGCGAGCGTTTTACTACAATTTCCCCACACGGTGCTGCAATAGTCAAAATGTGGCTGCAGAAGCGAGTTGAATATCAACTGCAGCGTCCTGTGGGGGAAAAGTGTTCTGGTTCGTTTTATCGCTCCAATGCCGCTGGCAATCTTTTTACACAGTCGATCGATATGTTCGCTCCAGGGAAGGTTCTCATCCATAGTAACACCCAGAGATTTACAATTTGAAGTCCATTTTTAAATGGGAGCGCAACTATGCTATTACAAACTAATAGCATGGCTTTTCGGGAGATTAGTGATTAAATGACCCCTTACCCTCGGCAGGTTTGCGGGGATTCCACAAACGTGCCTCGGGTTACGGGGCCACTTAATCACTATATTAATCTCCCTCAAGCCATGCTATTACTTATAAATGGAGATTTCTCAAAAGTTCTTAATAGCGAGCTTAAGATCTACGACGCGAACTTACGACGCGGACGTCGCATTAAACAAGTTTTATTTTAAAACGATGGCAAATACCATTAAAATATTTTTATCACAGTAAATAAAATGAAATTATACTGGAAAAAATGTACAACATAACAGAGGCTAGCAATATATTAAGAAGATATTTTTTATCATAAGTTTTTACGACTTCTATGACGACGAATCTTTG